CGGCCCGGTCGAGCTCTCGCGAGCTTCCAGGGATGGTGTGGGTTCGCCGTCGGTCCGCATCCCTCCGTTGTCCACCGTCTGCCCACTGAGCAGCCACACAGCGGGCGCTTTGTGGCCGTGAGGCCGTGGCCACGCGGTCCCCGCCCCGGCACCTTCAGAACATAATGCAGTGGTTACAGACAGGCGCTGGCGTTGGTGTATCTGACCTGGGTTCCGTAACTAATAGCTCTATGGCAGGGGTCCTCAAACTTTTTAAACAGGGGGCCAGTTCACTGTCCCTCAGACCGTTGGATGGCCGGACTATAGTTTTAAAAAAAACTATGAACAAATTTCTATGCACACTGCACATATCTTATTTTGAAGTAAAAAAACAAAACGGGAACAAATACAATATTTGTATTTGCATGTGGCCCGCGGGCCATAGTTTGAGGACCCCTGCTCTATGGCCTTGGGCAGGTTATTTAACAAACTGAGGACTGGAAATGCTTAGAACAATGTCTGGCACATAGTATTGTTGGTTTTATTAGTGTAAGTGTGTTTAGGGAGAAGGAATCTGCTCTCAGGCTTCCAACTACCATTGGAGAGGAAATCTGACAGGCCGGCGTGGCTCAGTAGTTGAGCATCCACCTAGGAACCAGGTCGTGCTGGATTCCCGGTGAGGGCTCATGCCCGGGTTGCGGCCAGTCAAGATTATTTCATCGTTGATGTTTCTCTCTTGCCCTTGCCCTTCCTCTCTGAAATAAATTTTAAAAAAATTTTTTTAAGAGAGGAAATCAGGAATTCCAAACCAAATGTAATACTATGAAGAATGTAGAGGCTTCTAAGCTGTGTAACTTGCCCATGTTTGACCGTGATAGCCCCTGGCTGTCTCTTATACAGAACCTGGCCAATGGAAGGGACCTGGATACTTCCAGCACAGCAAGAGGGGAAGTGAGAGAGACTCAATTCCAATATTCAGGTTCTGGGGGGAAAGAGTTTTCTTCTTGTGGCATTAAAAGCTTTACCTGAATTATCTAATTTAACCCTCACAATCCTCATAGTTTTATTAGTCTTATGTTACAGATGAGAAAACTGAAGCTTGGGGAGGTTAAAGGAATTTGCCCAACTTAGCCGACCCTTGGAAGCAGAAACTAGCAAAGTGGGATGCAAGATGTAACCCAATGTTTCTGAAATAAATTATTTTCTTTTTATCTCATAAGTTAAATTTCTGTCACTGTTTTAAAGTATAGTAGTCAAGAAGGTATTGTTACACTTTACAAACACACATATCTTGGAATACATGTTCAAATATAGGTTTGGAGATCACTGCACTGGAGCCTGAGCTTCAAACCACTTGGCTATACTGAGGGTCACAGCACAGGCCCAGAAAGGAAGGCAGGCTCGTGGGAAGGGAACACTGGACCAACATAGGGCTTCACTAGCTGGAGGGCCCAACGGTACCCATATGCAACCCTGCCTTGGCTGCTCATCCCTTTGGTGTACCTCAAACTGAATCCACAGCCCTGTGGTCAGCAGACAATTTGCTCCTGTTTCTACTCCAGCGCACATTAGCAGTGTAGTCCTCTCAGCCCCATCAGCCCATTTCTATCTTCAGTTACACCACTTTGGACAAGTTACCTAACCTCTCTGAGGCTGTTTCTTCATCTTTAAAATAGGGATTTTATTTATAGCTTTTCCCCAGAAAGGGTTTAAAGCAGAAACAGAGACACCTTAAAATTTTTGTAATGAGAAAATACATCTATCTAAAAGCACTTCACGTCCTGGCCCGTGTGGATAAGTGGTTAGAACATGGGCCCGTGCACTGAAAGGTCACAGGTTCAATTCCTACTCAAGGGCAGATACCTGGGTTGCAGATTCAATCCCTGGCCCTGGTCGGGCACATGCAGGAGGCAACCAATCAATGTGTCTTTTTCACATTGATCTCTCTCCCTGCATCCCTTCCCCTCTCTAAAAAGTCAATGGAAAAAATATCCTTGTGTGAGGATTAACAAAAAATAGATAAAAGCACTTCACAATTACTAACTCACTAATCCTCACAAAAACCCTACAAAGTGACTGCTTTTATTACCCCCATTTAACAGACCAGGACACTGAGGCATTAGAGGTGCCGGCACTAAAGGGCTTCCTCAATCCTGAGCAAACACACACAGCCAGCACCGGCCCTTCTCCTCAGCTGAAAACACTTCCATTCTCCTATACAGAGACATGGGCAAACATTTTTAAACATAAGAATAAAGCCAAGTGTCTTAAACACACTGCCTTAAATTTAAAGAGGAATCATCCCCTGCAGTGTGCTACAACTGAGATGCCAGGTGTACAAAGGACACATACTAACGTTACAATGAGTCTTACTGAACCCATTAACACTCTCCACTAGCAAAGTCAATTGCCCTTCATATTTATTCCATGTTCACGTCATGACAGATGTACACTCCATACCTGTGTTCACAGCTCTATTGGCTAAATATGGCTATATTTAATATGCTTGAAATATGAAGTAGAAGTGCCCTCACAAACGAACTCTACCTTCCCCGTCTATCATGGTTGTGAACCTGAATCTACATGTTCTTGGGCTGGCGGTTTGACTGTTCTCCTCTGGCCTTTGAGCAGGACCCTTCCCATACCTGTTACCCATGCTACTTCCAGTCACCTAACAAGGCACAATACAGGATGGAAAATTTGCAAGCATCTGCGGAGAATTATCATTTAACAGATTAACCACATGCCATATGCCAGAGCTGGGGGGTAGGACACTCACCCCCATCAGGCTGCATAGTGAGACTGGATGGAGCGGAGTGTGAAACTGAAGGCTTCCAGGCCTTGGCCATCAGAGCAAGTGGTACCTCAGCTGGGTTATCTGTCTGGTACCTTCTCCTCAGTCAGTCTTTCCTGGTTCAGAAACTCAGGTTATCATTCCCAATAACTGG